CCTACACAATCTTAAAGCACATGAATATATACACACTGGGGAGAAAAAGAGACACATATGTGAGACTTGTGGACAGGGATTCTACCAACATGGGGACCTAAAAACTCACAAACTTATACATACAGGACAAAAGCCTCACGTGTGTGGCATATGTGGTAAAGGGTTCATTAAAAGAGGTGATTTAAATGTTCATATGGTGGTACACACAGGAGAGAAGCCTCATGCATGCGAATTATGTGGAAAGAGATTTGCACAACGTTGGAAATTAATGAAACATACAATAGTACATGCAAAAAAAGTGGCAAAGGCTGGGATTCTGAACAACATTACCAAGTGATGACCTTTCCCTTTCCTGCCTTCGTATCTTACAAATGTATGCAGATGTGCAGTGAATCTGTTTAAGGCGCAATACAGAAGAAACATTCATAAAATGCGAACTAATATAATAAAAACTTACCGCCATCCTTGTGATAGTTACCAGTCAGTGTGAAAAGTATAATAGTCATTAGCTTGAGTAAAATAATTTTGTTCTAAGTACGATGATCTTTTACTCTGATTCATTTATTTGAATTTGACAATAAATAGTATATTTTCCTATCCGTTTCTTGAATCAAGTTTCAGTATTTAATTGCAAGTACTGGAACATGGTCTAGTATGTCTACTTTGCAGTATTTTAGTACACACTATTTTTTTCAATATCCTGTGCTGAACAAAAAATGAAGAGAGTTTTGTCATATATATGACTTATTTGTGTAGAGGCTGTAATTTCAGATATTGCTATGAAATTAAGCTGTCTGTCAAAATGGACAAACATATGATTGGGAATGAAATATGTAAATAAATAGACTTTGTCTTAGACTTCAAGTGGCTGTTATTGGAAGTTTTAAGTACATATAAAATCCTAAACTTTTATTAAAAGTTTAATCTAATTTTGTTTTGAAATCAGAAAACCAAAGAGTATCCAAACAAAAGAGTACTCAGTTTGAATTATGCAGAATTTTATACTTTCATATTTAATCCTGTTAAAATGTATTATGCACGTAAAAATATCACTTTGGCTTCATTGCTTATCCATATAGCATTACTGTACAGAGAGCCAAGCTGAATTATGGAGTCTATTGGCACTTACTCCAAGTACAGAGGATAACTGAAAATAAACTGAATGAACAGTTTTGGACAGCCAACAAGCAGTGGTCCCCGAGCTTGAATGTAGAATTCAGTGTATAACAATCCCTCAGTTTAAAATCTAACATCTTACAAATGTTCTGCACTACCACAAATTGGATGGGCGTTAATTTGAGGCCACTTGTGTGATTATTTGGGTTTCATAAAAGATTGTGAATTTCTTGACTAGCTGAGCAACTAACTACCTTCCCAAATTTCTTTTGCATGCTATTAGATTACTGAAATTAGCTCTTAAAAGTGCACTGAAAGACTTGAGAAATGTGTAGGATCTCAGAATTCTGTGCAAAACCAAGAATGGCTTCAAATTCCCCAATGAAATATGAGAGGTGAATTGGAAGTCAAACTTAGGTCATTTGGATGGAATTATTTGAACTCTTAGACATTGATAACAAGGACTGTGTAGCTCTCTGATAGCATGATGGACTTGTATTCAGGTGACTTCTGTTTCAAATTTCAGTTCAGTGTCCAGACTTATTTTCTTAAGAGAAGAGACTTGTATTTTGAGAAATAATACAAATGGAAACATAGTCACTATTTCATTTGCCCTGCAATTGGGTTACAGTTATAACATTGCAACATTTTCCGCAGTATTGAGTGCTCGGGTTGATAAAACAAATAGACAAGTGCTGCGACCGCTTCTACCTATACCCAATTCAATTCACACAGCAGAGGCTGTCGACAACAAAGTATGCAGTGACTTGGAACTCCACGGATTAAAGTGGTCTAGTATTGACAGTATGTAGATGATAACAAAAATATTGTTCCACAGTGCATGTATTGTTGCACAATTATTTATGTAAATAGAGGCTTGAGTATGTCACAAAACACATAAAGGTATGTTCTTCCGTAATATTTAAATGACATTTATTTTAGCTTTATTCGTCGAATGTCATCAATCGATATCTCAGTAAATATCGTCAATGGGTTATGTTAGCAGGTTATTTTCATTCCACGTGAAAATACAACGAAAAGCACTAACGCAACAATGAAGTTTACAAATGTTTCATACTGCAATAACGATAACGCCGAGTAGCAGTAGCAAATGGATTCGTACACATTCTGTATTAATGACGCTGAAGAAAAAAGCGCATGATGGTGGATGTAGTTGTCATTCGGTCTGATCGTAGTTAATCGGGTTTAATACTTCATTAATTTAAGCGCTGAACATGAAGATATTTGAAACATACTCTCTTTCATATTCAAGATAGTATTCCTAATGTGACGGTTATGTTTCTCCATCATGTTTATATTTGTTCAATCCATGTACACTCAAAACGATCAAAATATTGTAACATCTTTCATTGACAGTACATAGGTTATGAGAAGGACACAAGTAAATGTACGTCCTCTGGGTCCTCTGTTGCTTTTTAATTAAGGCAAAAAAACGGTTCTAAATAACAAAGTAGCTACTATAACAGGTCTTTCTTTTCTCCTCTGACACTTGTATTGATGGTATGAAATCCCATGTTAAGTGGCCCCTCATCACCACGACATATGTCATCAGGGTGCAGATAGAAAAGGCCTTCACATGTGGAGGGTGGATGCAAATATATTGAATATGCAGTCACAGACACCTGACAAGGGGTCATCCTCCAGCTGAGGGGTAGGTGGGAGATAACTCCTTACCATAAAAAAACAGCATGTTACAAAATGTTACACAGAATTCTGAACCTGGATGGGTTCTTTGAAACACCCAAGCAACAAACAATGGACATAAAATGGATGTTAAAGAAATATGCTGCTGCTCACTGCTGTGAGTTTTCTCCCTCATACATAAACAAGCAGCATTTTCAAGTTCTGAATGGTTATCCCAAATGTGTGAACTGTGTGGTTGGTAATTCAGTGCAGGGAAGGAATGTTTGTTGCCTGTAGAACAGCACAAAAATATCTGTTTCTATGCTATTTAATGCCCAAAAATTAACATGGACTTTAGAAAATGGGTTTAAATCGAGTGCTAATATCTGCGTGTCTTAAAGAAAGTAAGACCTTTTTATAATTAATATAGGTAGAGTCAGTAGTTCAACTTTGAACTGTAGCACCAAGAAGAAGAAGAAGAGTCGGTAGTAAAATAGAGTTGTTTCCAAAACAAATATATTATTAATGCTACTGCTATTTCTGTTATTACAGTTTGTGTGACTGGCACCATAGCTCTTATTAATTAAATAAACTGCACTTCACTTTTTGATTATAAACTTACATCATTATAACAAACATCATGAGATTATTGGATTATAAGTCTGTGCAGTAAAGCTCAGTGTTTCAAGATTTCTTCTTTTTCTTCACTTGTAGGAATACTGGGTTTGATCATGACAGAAAGGAAAGAAAATGCATTAAAAAGAATGGCACCTAGTACTGTAAAGAGTGAAATGCTTACTCATGAGCTCAACATAGTAGAGGAAGGGCATCTAGGATTACAACCTGTTCCACTTGCTTATCCCCATCAGGTAGGTCACCTCCGGCTGATGTCATTACTGTATATCAATAGTCATTACACTTTAATTTGGATATATGATTGAATGAGGAATTATAAATGTACAGTAATGTACTAAGCTGACCTGTCTGTTAGTTAGAGTATAGAGATGGAACCTCATGAATATGAGGCACCACTTCATTGTAGCATTGCTACATTCATATTAATTGAATTGTTAACATCAGAGATTGTAAAGTACAGACCTTCAGATTGCAATTAATTTACATCTTGAGTGTGTTTTGTTAAAATCCTGGGACCGACGTGAATTCTTCCTTCCTCCCCATGTTCTTGTACATTAAACTTTCATTTGGAAGGTCTCTGACTTGAATCCCATTATGAAATATGCTCATTAAGCCTTCCTTCATTCCTTCCTGTCCTACTCTCAGGTTGTATCCTAATGCCATTACTGATTCCATTCCATTAGTATTAATATTTATTACTGAGTAGCACTTTCATATGCAAAGAAAGTGATACTTTACTTCATTCATATTTCAGGACATTATTGTTGAAGTGCCTCTCATCAATGGTGAGCCACCAGCAACATTGAATTCTTCAAGAGAAAGTGATGTCTCAAATATCGCGCAGTCTGAGGTAACTAAGTCCATGAAGTAGAGTCCTTCTTGGGAAGCTGATTGTCAGTCAGTTAATAAATGAATCCTCCTTTTATGGAACCATAGGTTCATTACTGTGTTCACAAGAGCCCTCCAGTGGTCCCTGACCTGAGACAAATATGAAGCATACACAAGGCCCTTTAATTTTTAGGCAGTCATTACGCTTTAGCATCAGCAGCGAACATCTTGTGAGTCTGTCCATGTCTGTCTGTCACATCTTCCATCACATTGTTACAATAGTGACCTTGGATCACATTGCAACAATGATAACACTCGCCTTTGATACCTTTGTCTCATTTGTTATTTCCATGGTTGTCCGCTTGAGGTCATTGCCTGTGATGTGACATAAAGAACACCTTTGGATTTATAGTGTACTCCAAAGAGTTCGCCTTCTCAATCTTGTTTATATTCAGAAAATTGTGAACACATCATATCTCTCAGACTTTCATAAAGGTCCATTAAGTAGTCAATAACTAGTACATATCAGAAGCTATTCTATAATGAATTCTCGGGCTACCAGCTGTGTCACGTGGTTTAATGGCGAAAACACCGACGAAGGAATTTCAGCACTCTGAGGACGAGGACAAAGATGGTTCTCCAAACGGTGTTTTCTCTGTTAAACCACCTGACAGCTGGTAGCCCGAGGAGAATTCATTACAGTCGCAGCAAAGCTATGATGAGAGTGGGAAGATCAATGAACCTGTAAGTCATAACCATAGTATTTAAGCCATGGTTAATCAGTTCAGTTATATCTAGTATTTCTTCAGCAGATTCTTTCCCAAAATAATTTAATTTCTTTTAAAAATAACTTGCATGACATTATAATATTTGTGCACTGACTACATCCTATGACATTAACAGTTTTTGTATTGAATTTCTTTGCACAGAAAACATGTGGGGTCTCAGTAGAAACTAGAAACATCCTACATCAAGGAAATGAAGTTATACAGTGCAAGCAAGAGGATAATTTTCAGAGCATGACTCCGAAAGAAGAGCAGATCAAAAAACGTAGAGAACAGAACAGGTTTAGAATGAGAGCACTACGAGCTTCTGATTCAGAGGTTGCCCTGAGACTTAGGGAACGTAACAAGTTCAGAATGAGAACGCTTCGTGCCTCAGATTCACAGGTAGCGCAAAGCCTCAGAGAACGTAACAAGTACCGAATGAGAGAACTTCGTTCTTCTGAATCCCATTTAACCCACAGACTTGTAGGAGGTAGCACTATTCATGTAGATTCTTCTCTAGATGGAGAATGCTTGCCAAATAATAAGACAAAAATAGAGCCTAGTATAGAACATTGTCAGGATATGCATATGGCAGGGACTGTTGATGACTCTTGGAAAGCAGATCTCAGGGCTGATATCATTAATATCTGTGCTGAAGGAAATAAATTTCCATGGATACATGTAGAGAAAGGTCCTGTGCACAACATATCATATGATGTTCTAGGATCCCAAGAAAATGAGAAGCAGGTTGCATATGAAGGTTTCTTAAAAAGAGAACAATCTGTTAATGGAGTAGTACATAAAGTTAAGTCACTGTGCTATGACATACAGTGTATTCCGTTAAACAGAAATATCTGCAAGCACAATATTTATAACAAGAATGAACTCCATGCTCTTGAAAGTGAAGGCAAGGGTAATGAAAAATCTGAGATGGAATATATGGTGGATGCAGTCAACTGTATGCAGTGTGATGGATTTGTAGTGGGAAGTCATGAAGTAGGAACGTGTGCAGTTAATAATAGCCGGCAACAACATAAAAATTTAGGCCCTGTTGCAAAAAATGAAACTGTTGTGAGTTTTGATGGGCAAAGTTCAGTCAGAATGGGAGTTGGTGTCCATGATCTATCCCAGTGTGAAAAAAGATGTAATTCACATTTTTTAACATTTCAAGGTGATGTTACAGAACAGACCAAGTTATTAATAAAAGATGTTCCATCTGAAATAAGAGAAATACCTGTATCTGAAATACTTGATCAGGCTGAAAGGCGCAGAGAAAAGGGGAAACTAAGGATGAGACTTAAACGGCATACAGAAACAGAAGAAGAAGCCGAGCGGAGGAGGGAAAGGGGCAGATTGCGAATGAGAGTATTGCGAGCTTCAGAGACTGAAGAACAGGCTGCAAGGCGTAGGGAGCTTAACAGATTGAGGATGAGAATGAAGCGGAACTCTGCAAGGCACTGAAGTTGTTCACCTTGTTTCATTATGTGGATGCCAGTCATTATTGATGGACATTGAGATTATTTAATAATGAACATGTTTGTTCACTTAGAGCTTTAAATTATATTGGGTATATCCATCCTATAATTTTGACCTTGAATATGAACATATACATTTGTCCAGTAATACTGAAAATAAAATATTCAATTTTTATTTTATATACCATGGAATTGTCATTGCATTTATGATCCTGGTTTATGTTTTGAGAGAATGTGATAGAAAGAGTTGTGATGTCAAAATTGGCTATGAAATTCTAATAGGTTTTTAAAAGTTGTTCTATTTATGCCTTTACTATTCTAAATCAGGGGTAGGCAACCTGCTGTTTGCAGGCCACGTTTTCCTTACAGCCTTTGTTATGCAGCCCATTGCAACTGGGAATTAGCCAATGTGAGAAGGGAAAAAAATTCTCTCATTTTATATAAGAGTCCAGTAATGTATTTATATCCCATTTAAAATGATTTATACAACGTAAAATATTCCACCTAAGACGGTAAATTTAAAAGCAAATAACTGTCCATTTAACACTTTCTGTCAGATTATACCGGGTGCAGCAGAGGAAACACGTGTTTTTCAAATAACAATAACTCAGTTGATTTTCAAGTTAAAAAATTTTAATTAGACAAAGAGAAAGGTTTTACAATGCAGTTTTTGTTGAACATTTTTGAATTACTTCCGAAAAATAACGTACGTGAAGTGACGCCCTTCCTTCTGTACGCACTCTTGCAGCCTCTCCTCAAAATTCTGCATTGTTCTTCCCACAGTAGCGATTTCCTGGCAAATGGAATCTTTCAGTTCCTGGATGTTGCGTGGTTTGTTTCTGTAGACCTTTGATTTGAGGTAACCCCACAAAAAATAGTCACATACGGACAGGTCAGGGGAGCGAGGCGGCCAAAGGGATATCACCGAAACAGAAGATGAACAACAATTACAGATTCACCACCTTTGATATAATTTTCAACGACAAACACCCCATGCTCGCGGATCCATGGTGCCATGGCTGCTGAAACTGCATCATCTAAGCTGTCTACTAGCAGGGGGCGGAAATCCCCCACCCTCCTCCTTGCCGAGTACTAGCCACTCAAAAAACATGCGTTTCCTCTGCCGCACCCAGTATTACATACATATATTTTGAGCTCAGATAAACTGAGACTAATATACAAGGACCCACTACATGATTATGAAATTGATGTATGGTATGTGAATGCAGATGAAATTATTGTACTGATTATTCTGAAATGTACATGACATGCAACAGATGAAGGCCAGTATGATTTCATCCAGTAAGGTTGCTATTATACTTACAGCATCCATCAATCCTTAACCCTTCCCAGTCTAGTATTTTTTTGACTGGTTTCTCTCCCATTTAAAGCATTTATCCATTGTACAGAGCAAGTCAAAGAGTCCAGAAACATAGGAAGATGGAAGTCTTTATTGCAAAAAGACATGTTATAAGATGTGTTCTAAATATAAAAACAGCTCCTGTGTTTCTGAACATCTGGGTCACCTTTATGACAATATAACACACATTTTTAGAAAGGCCTCAAACTGCTAGCCAGCAACATAAACTATCATGGCCATTGCTTGGATACTAACATGTAGTTATTTACATAGGTATATTAAAATGATTTCCATTGATGAATTGAGGGCTCTTCAACAGCAAAATTCACAAAATACATATAGCCATAGATGACAAGATTCTTAAGAAAACAGCAAAGAATCACAGTGAAACAACTCTGACAAATTTAACCTGGAGCTAGTGAAATATAATGTGTTTATTCCACCTTGATGCTTGACTATAAAAAGTAAAAGTAAGTATTAGGATACAGAATTATGTTCTGTTTTATTCATAAATCTGTAAATTGCTGATAATATTGTACTTCTAAGGACTGCATGCTACTCTTGTAAACTATTATATGTATAGGTTCAAAACAAAATCAAACTGATGGAAAGTAAGTTACAGATCTTCATTTTCAAAGATCAATTGATGTGTCAGAAACCAGTTGCCATGCAAAGATTTCAAATGGGATCTCCCAAAATGAGGATAGATGAGCTATTTCTGTGCTAACCTGCTCAGTCATTACAGTGTCAGTATATAATGTCAAGTTTTCATTTGACACAAGAATGGCCATGTCGCTTTAAGTTACTGTTACGTGTAAAAGCTCGGTTACATCTGGCACAAATATACGGCTTCTCTCCTGAGTGGACAGACTGGTGTGCTGTGAGGTTATACTTGTTACTGAATGCTTTCATACATGTTCCACATTTATATGATTTCTCTCCACTATGTGTCCTCCAATGAACAATAAGAAGTGAGAAGTATTACAATTTGTATTATATTGTACTAGGTACTTTCTCACATTGAATCTTACTGCAGTTTGAAGCATTACTTTCTAATACTTTTGTATAGGCTAAAGAAAACCTGATTATTTAAACTACAGGCACAACATCTCTCCAATCCTGACTCGGTTTAATGATACTTATATTCCAAACCTACCAAAATGAGTGTATTTCTATTCACATTAATGTCTTTTGTTGAAGTTCCAAACAAATTCTGAAACACATAGCATAAATACAAGGCACAAAAATGATCACCATCAACTGAATACTAACCTCACCAGAAATCAGAAAGGTGCTTACAATGCAACAATCAATTATTCAATGCTATTCCAGACAGCATTAATAGTTTAAACCATGATATAAAAAAGTCTTTAAGTCAGACATTGAAAGATTATCTTACCTACATTGCAGAAGAATTTACTTCAATTGAAAATTGTCAAATGTTGTAAATATTTATGCAATGCTATATCGTAATAAATATATAGTTATATACAATAGCATATTCCACAACCTAGAATTTCACTATGAAGGATGTAGGCAATATTTAATTTTAATTTGCAGTCTAACTGTTAGGATATTAAAAGTGGTGCCATTCAATTAGTATTTACCAAGTGTTAATTATGGTATGAGTTTAGTGCTCTTGAAATGGCATCTTCGTAATATGTAATAATAATACCTGATTTGAATAGTAAAGAAATTATTGTTTCATAATTCTTCCTTGATAATACGCTATATAAGAACACCGTAGTTTAGGATTGGTTCGTAAACCCACAAATACTTTGAATTTTAATAACACATCCTGCAAAAATGTAAAGAACAGTTTACAATTAGTGTTACCACGGCCATGCAGATTCTAATATTTAAGTACAAGATAACACTTTTGTTCCGCACGAAAAAAATTCTTGTATGCTTGACTCTAATATTGTGTTACTTTTTCTTATGTAAGTACCAGTTATTGAACTATAAATGTACCTTTGAGGTCTACGGCACATTCCTCCTAGATTTTGTTGATAATAAGCGCATGTGTGACTTTTCATTGTTTATTTCTTAATAAAGAGGTTAGATTTGGTCACTATAGACTTTCAACGTACTTGCGACGTACACCTGAACACAATGAGAATTCACAGAGATTAAGCATTAGTGGAGGTATTGGCAATTCCAGCACATTGCCCATTCTAGTGTTTGCTTCAGATCACATACAACATTAAATTCTGGATTTATTCATCAGTATCGACAATAATATAGAAATAACATATTTGCAGGGATAATAATTGAGATCATTGAATACCAGTGAAAATTTTTCCTGTGTAAGAAATGATATGTTCCTGTGTTACACATCCTTGGCTTATATTATTATTGATCCATGGAATATAAATACATTCTAATTGTAACTATTAACTAAAATCTTGTAACCTGTTATATGTTCACAAAAATTACAATGTTTGTTGAATAGTTTTTTACCTTTGTATGTTACATTAGGAGAAATTAATGCCTTACTAGGTGCTGACTGAACATAGTGAATATATATCCTGTTACTGTATCAGTGCATAATTTTTCCTTTAATAACTTCTACACAATATATGCTTTACATGGTACAAAACCAGAATTAGAGGTAAGAAGCACTTCATGATAAATGTTTCTTCCAGGTTGAATTAAGAATCTGTTCATCAATGTACAGATAGAAATAAAATTTCTTTGTTGTGGAAATAATATTTGAACACCTACATGGAGGAACCAAATGAAGAGAAATGCTCAGTAAAATCAACTAGCTTGGAAGGAACAAGGTACTATCACACTTTGTCTTTTGTCCATTGTTCAGCAGTGCTACAGCAAATATTGCTAGTAGGTGAAGGGGGAGATACCATGTGGGCAAGGAAGAGATTAGTGTGTTCAACATCTCAGTTATACAAAACCATTCCCACTGTGTTTCTTGTTTCTCACTTCATTTAAATCTGACATACCAGGCTTAAATATCCTCTGTAAAAACACATATCCCAAGTAAATTAAGCAATTCATTAATATCAGAACATAAAAACATTCTAAAAGCATTATCTTCAATGCATTTGTACAAAATTAATTTTCCCTAAAAATAAATTCATGTAATTAAAAATTATTTGATCTTGATTTTCATCAGTGAGTTGAAGGAAAATATATCCCTTTCCTTTTTCCTTGCCTGGTAGGTGTAATCCTATTGTCAGGTTGCCATGTACTTGAATTATTGCATGCAAATAATTTAATTATGAAGAAACAATGAAGTAATAAGACTACCTTTCTGCACAGTACATTGTCTAAACAAACACATTCATTTTGCTGTTTGAAAGTTTGTTTATATGCAGTGCTGTGTGGTGGATCAATATGCAATTCTGTAAATGAAATTATAATTCTTATAATAAAAGGAATATTGAAATTTTTCTTTCAGTTTTCCAGAAATGTGTTCACCAGGCCATGTGGACTTGTTTACTCAACCAGGACCTTCTAGAAGATCTTTTGACCTACACTCAACCATTGCAAACAGATTTCTTCCACCTTTCTTGACAGGCATACCAGGTTTGCATCTACATCAGTATTTAAGCCAAGAGAAGAAGCCATTCTTATGTGGCGAGTGTGGCAGAGAATTTGAAGATTTGGGTACACTAAAGACACATTTATTAAATCACACTGGCCAAAAGCAATATCCTTGTGGTGTGTGTGGAAAAATTTTTGCTTTGCAAGGTAATCTTAAGACACATGAATTGATACACAGTGGAGAAAAACCGCACGTCTGTGGCGTATGCGGCAAACGCTTTACCGTTCTTGGAAACTTAAAAACTCATGAGATGACACATACTGGGGAGAAACCACACATATGTGGTGTGTGTGGTAAAGGTTTTTCAGCGCGTAGTAATTTGAAAACTCACGTACTTATTCATACAGGTGAAAAGCCACACGGATGTGGAGTATGCGGAAAACGTTTCACAGTTGTTGGAAACCTGAAGACACATGAACTTATACACACAGGAGAGAAACCGTATTCATGTAACGTGTGCGGGAAAAGTTTTAATGTTCGTGGAAATTTAAAAACACATGAATTGACTCATACGGGAGAAAAACCCCACACGTGTAAGAGCTGTGGAAAATCTTTCACAGCTCTAAGTAACCTAAAAACGCATCAATTGATGCACAGTGGAGATAAACTTCATGTATGTGGTGTTTGTGGTACAGGTTTCACTTCATTAGAAGGTTTCAATCATCACACCCTAATTCACATGCCACAAAAGCCAGATGAACCTGAAATAGAGATATTAACTTAAAACTTTAATATATAATGGCTGTGTCACTGTTTGGCTGCTCAGAGTAAGATGCTTCTTCCATTCTTTTTTGTGCTTTGCAAATTTTCTGCATTTTCATGCTTTTTGCAATGTAGTTTGATAGCAAATTGGCATTAGGTATATTTGCCAAAAGACCTTTGCTTCCAGTGACAGAATGAACATGTGACCATACATCATTGGTAGGTGAAAATAAGGTGTCTCCAAATGCAGCCTGAAAATTGAACTATGCATGATGTCAACTTTGATCCTAATGATAAAGTAATATACATTAATTATGGAGGCAGTATGACCTCTGAAATGTTGGTTAACATCGACCAGACTACACAGCGCAACAACCCAGAAGACAGAAATCTTCATACTCACCGTTGTGAAAACCTCAAATCTTACTTAATATACTAAATGTTGATGCACCTAATTTTTCATGTTTATCCATATCAACAAAAAGAATCTGTTTATTTGACATTCTTTCAGAAATGATAGGTAAGATCATGAAGTTTTTATGATCTTATAAGAAATGTTTGTAAAAATTGTGCCATCTGAACAAAAATCTAAATGCTTTGAAAATTATTCCTTAAGCTGTCAAGTATGAAATTTAATAATCTCTAGTTTATTCACATTACATTGGCTTGAAATAAAACATCTTTTTAATCCTGCTACAACAGAATATGCTCAACTGATGAGGAATCTTTTGAGATGCTATTTCACTGTTGTTGATTTATGTAACAGCTACTTGAAGCTACAAAAAGACATACTACTACCTTCCATTTGCTAGCAGTACTGTAGCTTAATTTTCTTAAATAATATTGCTGTTTATTTCTGCTTACTCGGGAGTTTTGTACCTTGTTTTTTATATATTTACATTTCTTATTACCCATCTGAATTATGTACCCCATAGCCTAAATTTAATTGCACTGTGTTTAATTTAGGGGACATGGAAGAAATTGTGTAATATTTTGTTACTGTTTATGATGTTTATGTTATTGGTTGTGATCAACTTTTTCATTCCTTATCAGATGGTTTCGTGATGCCTTACATGTTCGGAAGTGAAGGGACTGTGCTGTCTTAAATCTGAGATGGTAATTTTGCCATAATTATGAAAATGCCCCCAAACTGTTTGTTTCATCAAGGAAATAAGCAAAATGTTGCTTAAAACAATATTTGTAATTTTCTGTTATATTCCATTAGTACTTTCCTTGAAGTGTTTGCTACCATGCACTGAAAAGGACATGAATTACTACAATTTACTTCTATGAAAACTGTCATGAGGTCTTTAGAAGAGATGATGGTCTGATACTATGATGCATTCAAGTCCTCATGAACTGGGGACAGTTTGGATAATTCTTCAAAGTACAGTGGCATTACCACACACCTCATTTTGCTGTGAACATTTCCACTGTCTTCTCAGAACTGGTGTCTGATACCAGCAATCATATATACACAAATAAATAATTGTCAATATCAGTAACATGGTCTTATATCGAAAGTAAGACACCAGAGTTCAAAGCTGTGAACAAGTTGAAATTTAAAACATAACCACATTGATAAGGCAGGAGTTTATAAATGTTGCAATGTGTACAATGCATATGATATGGAATAATTCAGTATTGACAATGGATGAAGTTTGGGGGTGGGGAGCAGAGAAGGCAAAAATGCGACTGCATGTATAGTACTGCTTAGCTTCTGTCACAAGTCAACAAGGCAGAGTTCCTCAAGTTTCCCAGTAGAGATCCCTGGTCAGTCAGGATATACTCAGATTAGAACTATGCTCCTCAGATATTATGTATGAATATGTGCACTTCTGTCATACTGTGGGCAGACTTACTTGAATATTATAGTTTTTCATAAATGGATATGTGGAGTCATTATTTTCAAAGTGGGATAATGGCACTTTTTACAGTATTATTGATCAGTTTATAATGTTTAATGTTGTGTTGTTGTACACAAACAATAGTCAGCACTGCAGTCATGGCTACTGGCCTTCAACAGTTCATTAGAGGATATTATGGTTAATGTTACATCCGAAGTATTAACATCCTATTATTACAGCATTTAGGATCTCTTAATTTTATCACCACTGTGAACCACGTGTTCACTACAAGAAAAGTGGAACCTGACCATGAGATTAATTCCTTCTTGAGCCCTTGGTGTATTTCTGTTTTATTTTTAAGAAATGTTGAAAGAAACTTACAGGACATTAAAAAAGGGCATTTCTGTCTCCACTGTTCTGTAAATATCAACAGTGATTTACACAACCAAAGAATATTAAACATGTAGTTATACTAATTAATACACAGATACTAGCATAACAGTGAAACTTAAATGGCCTAAGAATAAAAATTGTATTAAATAGGAAAAACAAATGATGAAGAAGATAGCTTCCATGAGGAATTGTAATGCATATGTGACTGGATTAATAGGAAACTAATGAAAATGTTGCTTTAGATATCAATGCTAAAATTAGATGGATAGACATTTTCAAAATAATAATGACAATGAAATTTACGACACTGGTGGACACTAATGAATTTAAAAATCTGACAAATTTATAACTTTTGTGCATCATCATTATACTGACAAGCCCACTTGGATTTGTTCTGAGTTGATAACACACCTGACAGAAATTATACATCAAGTACGACTGATTTCTGATCTTACAGAGAATTGTCAACCACACTCACTGATTGCATGATTCAAGACAACTCAGTTAATATAATAATTAGATCACTCAAGTTTAGTTCCCAACAAGGATGGAATTTTTTATTCAACACCAAGTCCTGACTGGCACTGTGGGTATAATACAAAGTTGCTTTTGTATTGTCCCTAGGTTGGGAAGAATTACTATAAGTCTTTTAGTTTTTTTATGAGATGTATGAGGATGAATGCTAGAAATGTACATCTTAACAAGAAAATTTAGAGCTTGGACCATAAAATATGGTAACAATATTGGTCTTCTTGGCTGTAATGGCGTGTAGACTTGTAGGTAGGTACCTACATTTTGGAAAATCTATCATGTTTGTGATAGGGAGTAGTCCTGGTATAGACATTCATACAAGTTTATCAACAATATGCTTAGCAGTATGTCTTGTTAGTTGGTGTTTCAAACCAAACGTTTTCCCACACAGATTACAAGAAAATGGTTTCTCTCCAGTATGTATTATGACATGCCTGTTCAAAGCACCTATATTACCAAACTTCTTGCCACAGTCTCTGCAAGCATGTGGTTTCTCACCAGTGTGAATGATTGTATGTATTTTTAGGCCTGCAAGTTGATTAAACCCTTTCCCACACTCGCCACACTCATATGGTTTCTTCTCTGCATGGATTACAGCATGATTAATGAGATTCCATCTGCGAGCAAAGGTCTTCCCACAAACTTCACATTCAAAAGGTCGTTCTTTACTATGTACTACCATGTGAATATTCAAGTCACCTCTCTTGATGAAACCCTTTCCACACTCACTACAGACATGAGGTTTATAACCTGTGTGTATTAATTTGTGAGTTTTTAAATCTCCATGCTGGTAGAATCCCTGCCCACAAGTCTCACATATGTGTCTCTTTTTTGCCCCTGTGTGTATATATTCATGTGCTTTAAGATTGT